CACACACACACACACACACACACACACATATATATATATATATATATATATATGTGTGTGTGTATGTGTGTGTGTGTGTGCATATATATATATATATGTGTGTTTATCTATGTATGTCTATGGATAATCTATATATAGACTAAAACATACCTGGATCATTTCTGGTGCGAGATAGTCAGGTGTACCACAAATTGTAAATGTCTTCTCCACAATGCCGAGCTTCTTTGCGAAACCGAAATCGATCAGCTTAACGTGCCCCTTACTATCTACTAGTAGATTTTCGGGTTTGATGTCTCTGTTGGAGTGTAGTGATGAAGACATACAGATAGGAATTTACTGACCAGTTGATGGAACAAACGGCGAATAATGTCACACAATATATAATCACAGACGCAGCGGCTTCACTTCACAGTGGTATACGCACATCGAGTGTGTGATCAGGCAGAACCACTCCAGAATAACCGCACATCACAGTCCTTCGGGTCATTGGACCGTGGGGTTTTTCTCCGGATGTAAACTTGGTTTACACATACCTATACACCACACCCCCTTGCTCGTGTAGGTGTCTCAGCGCCAAGATAACTTCGCAGATATAAAACCTCGCGCGCTTATCTCCAAATCGGTGATTGGGCGCCGCCTGTAAGTGTGCAAAAATCTCCCCCCCCGGCACATGCTCCATGACAAAGTAGAAGTAAGTGCTGTCCTGAAAGGCTGCGATGGTCTTTACGCAGAAAGGTGCGCTGTGTACGGATATTTCCTTCATCGTCTCTTTCTCATCCTGGGAAGCGAAGGGCAGGATTGATTTGTTGTTGTAGGTAAATGTGTATCGATATGAAGACTCAGCAGTGGGTTGCATTGGAGCGCGTGTAGTTGAGTTCACTGGTGTATTCCGCACTGAATCGCATGACATCAAATACGCTTGCCCTTAAACGTTCTGTACCATGTCAAATCAAGATAAATGGAAGGACGAGACTAATGGTTAAAAAAAGTGAATCTGCTAGAACTTCCACTAAGCTATATTGCATAACATGATGCAGGCTAGTAAACGTGTACTTACCAACAAGTGCTTCAAATGCTTTCCGTTGATGACGCTCTTATCTACAACTTTCAGCACGACCTGTATAAATATTTAAGGCGGAGGCGATATGAAAATAGAAAGTCGACATCAGTACCAAGAATAAACATAAAATGACTTGAATGCCAAACTCAAGCAGAGATACAGAAGCAAATTCGTGCTAAGCCTCTATATTCAATGAGAAATAAGTCTACCAGAAATATAAAACATGATAACGATTATGTAATCTTGTGTACTCAAAATGCACTTACGTGTAGCGATATACATTTGAATCACGTAATGATATCTGCCGACGAGCCGAGATCAAATGTTTAGTCTTTCAACAATGCAGAATCAAGTGTGCACCATTCCAAAGACTATACACACACAAACATATACACGTATATATATATATATATATATATATATGTACATATACACACACACACATTCACACACACACACACACATATATATATATATATATGTATATGTATATATATACATAAACACACACACACACACACACACACAAATATATATATATATGTGTGTGTGTATGTTTGTGTGTGTTTGTATGTGTTCACTTTTTAAGTATCGAATTGATATACACCTTCTTATTCGTTAATGAGTGTCGACAAAGTATAACTCGACCATATGCTCCGCTTCCAATTTGCTTGATCTGGGTAAACTGTGATATGTCAAAATGGAACCCTGGTTCGGAGGCCAGCGTCGTGATAACGTCACAAGCCGACTCTTTGTGTCCTGTACATAAAGAAGTAGCAGAACTTTAGTAATATGACTCTACTCAAAATAGTATAACATCGATACATTCGGGCCAAAAAATTGTGTATGGAACTCCACACTGCAACGGTCATACGATTATCCTGCCCAGAGAATGTTTGTTGCTTTTACACCACCAACTTTCCAAGCACACCAGTCACCACTCGTCTGTACTTACGGGAGAATATGGCCTTCGTAAAGGTCGCCAGGTTGTACAGGTGTTCTTTGAGTGGCGCTGAGGGAGTACTCGGATGGGTATTTAAACTGGTGGTGGAGGTTTCACTCTCGTGCTTGTTCAGAGACGGCAGATTGGTATGCGACGCATTCTCCTTCCTCTTGGCGCTCTGGTAATTGCTTTCCAGATTTCGTTCCGAGTGCGATCTGTTCAGTCGACTTCTGCAGAACAGGGAGAAGTGTGGCGACTGGCTTAGAATGTGTATGTCCAGCAATAGCATGCCTTCATACGACCTCGAGTCGGAGTGTAGTATAGAGAAGTCCACAATAGGTCCACTGCGAGATGTTTGTATAGATGTAATAGTAAAACAAGCAACAAATTCCGTACACACTTGCAGACAGTCGTGAGATATCTAATGGCTGATCAAAAGAATCAACATGGCGCAATGACCAACTACAAAACACACAGTTTGCAATACATACTTCAAGCTCACCACTTTGAAGCGTGTGCCAAAACCAGACAGGTGCGGTTATGGCGCGAGATGTCACACTCGCGTGTTGCAATTGAGCACTCCAATTAGTGTGGAAGTCGTATGCAGGCATCGCACTTGAAGACGGTTGCTGAATATGAACCAGTACTATCCCAAAAACCAACACTCGTGGCTGCTAGATGGTACAATCCGCATGACGAGCCGTGTACTTACCCTAAGTTACTGAGTGAAAAATTCTTTTTTAATTTCGGCAGCAGTAGTGGCGATGAGTACTGACGTTCCACTCCCAGTTTGGAGCTCGAAGATTTATGCAAACTTTGCGGCCTCGGGCTCCTGTCGAGAGAGATAAAGGTGAAGATGAATTTTATAAAAGCGAATCCGATATATGGAAGACAAGAACTTCTCGTGTAAAATATGACACGTACTGAATATTGGGTGACAAGCCCATATTGTAGACGGAGATAAAGTTAACAGTACCCTACCCTTACATTCAAGGATAATCAACCAATGAAGTAGTAGCAATATCAACACGATATATAGATATATATATACATACATACATATATAT